TGGAAAAGATCGAACCATTCAGACAACTTCATTACAACGTGAACTTTTACAACTTAATTACAGCGTAGTCATCATGTTTTGTGAGTTAGACTTGCGCTTCTTTTGCTATCGACATGTGACATCTAAATAATTGTATGTGCAAATTTCTATGTCATAAAATCCGTAGCAGTGCGAATTGTTGCTGATAACATCAGTGAAAAACTTTCTTTATTTGCATTTCATATTTCACAAAGTCCTTGTCGTAACCAAGAGCGTCTTTTAGGATCTCTTCTGCCTTTGTTTCCTGCTCACTCGTCTCCGAAGTGCCATTAAAATCCTTGATAGTCCTGAGTCGTATTTTTAGTACTTTACTATCTTGGCAGATGCCAGTTGCCAATGCCTTTATTACAAGATTCCTCAAGTCCCCCTGAGGACTGTCGTCAATACCTCCTAAGTAAGACGAAAGACATTCTCCGCTTAATTTCCTTCTTGCCTCAGGATAAGCCTTAATAAGCAGTCAGGCTGGTACAAATTACCAGTCTCTTAAGATGAATGCCGTGATACATGGTGTGCAAACCAACACAGGAAATTAGGTCCACCTACTGTAGTCTTAGGCAGTTGTCAAGTTGAGCGGCTTGGAGGTACTTAAAGAACAAACCTGTCCTTGGCTGACCTCTAATATTGTTGACTGCAGTGTGTTAGGCGCTTTAGATAAGAAAAGTAACTAAGGTAAGAAATATCCGCGCGCACATTATTCGGGCTTTAGATAAGACAAGTAGCTTACGTAAGGAATACCCGCGTACATAAAATAACGTAAGAAATACCCGTACACCAGTGCATATGATAACGTAAGAAACATCCCTGTACATATGATAACGTAAGAAACATCCATGTACATATGATAACGCACGAAATACCCCTGTGAATATGATAACGCAAGAAATACCCCCGTACATATGATAACGTAAGAAATATCTCCATACATACGATAACGTAATAAATACCCCTGCGCATATGATAACGTAGGAAATATCCCCGATTCGGTCTTTCGATAAGACGTTTAGTACTTCGGTTTGGGTCTTTAAATATTTCTTAAACACAACAAAGTGGAAAAATGCATATCTATAAATGTCCGGTCATTGCACTTTGTTCAGGCAATATTCAAATGAACAGGCTTGTTAAAATTAACCGTTATGAAAAGGCGACACATGATTAGTTAATTTTGTAATAAAGTTAATTCCGCGAAGTTGTTTGACAGTAGACATGTGGCACTGTAAGTACGTTTAATGAGACTGCAGAACTCGTTAATCCACGTATGACGTAACGGTTCCAATTAGAGCCAGCTAGTACAGACAGAAGGATTGAGAACTAAATCCGTAGACTCTGCTACTGTCTGAAGACGATCTGCTCCAAGGATGATTCTTAATCCCTGTCATATATTCAGGACCTTCCTGCGACATTGCCCCGAAGTTCGGGAGCAGTCTGGAATTGCCTTAGCCCCTGCCACACAGTCACGAATACGGCGTCCCGAACACTCAAATTTTAAATTAAATTCAATTCAATTCGTAATGAAATGTAGGCGTGGCCTAAATCTTGTCAGACTGCTCCCGAACGTCACCCTTGGTTGGCTGGTGTTCGTGGAAAGGTTCTGAATGTGCAGCAGGGTTTTTAGATATGATCACGCAGCGGCCGGAACCTCTACTGAGGCCTTATGCGAGAAAATGTAACGCCCACGTTTGCTTTTAACTGTTGGTTGCCTTGATCGTAACATCTCTGCTGCATTAAGCAGCAACTGCATTATGTAACCTGACTTATAATGTTACTGATAGATGTTGGAATAATGTCATGCCCACTAGAGGTGTACATTACTGCAGATCCCCTGTTTGCCGAATGACTAACGACATGCAGTCATATACATCTAGGAATAGCGTGCAGAATTAGTTAGCATTAGATTAGAATCTGTATGTAACGTTGTATGTGTGTGTTGGAAACATTCCAGAAGATGTTTCCAAAAGATGCTTCGCTGTTCGGTCTCACGACTCACACCCTCGAGAGCTTCTCTTATCCTCTCTCCTTCATGACGAGAGACAATGTTCCGTACTGTTGAGGTTAATGGACCAGTAATGGGGGTTACTCTGGGACACATTCCATTATGGATATTCACAGGCTAATGCCAAGAGATCCCTAGCTAGTTAACACATGTGGAGAGAGGCCATTATGTGCAATTTGCGATACATACACTGGGTCACCGCCGCCGGCGTTGCTCATATAAAGTGCACTTGTAGAAGGCCTATCGTAAACGCTTGCTGCCGTGTGAGTGGATAGGTTTTCAAAGTTATAACTAGTCAGCTGATTTATATTGACGAGCCTTACATGTTCAGGTCGAGACAGGTTCGCCATATCCATGCATAAGTCCAGTTCGTGCACGGCTTTGCTGCCCGGAATAGTGGATTATTCCTGTTTTAGACACTGCCTTGTTTTTGGGTTCCCTGTACTACGAATCTGCCAGACTAGCCCTATGGTCATTACTGAGTTTAGTCCACTTTGATGTAGTCTGCCCACTACATTATTTCCAGCAGTAGTACAATTTGATCTAGAAAACCAGACTAGTTTTACTGGCATCACCGTTAGTACTCCAGTCTGCCAGACTAGCTCTACCCTCATCATTACCGTGAGCCTTCTTTGATCTGACCTGCTAAAGACAAATGCGTGCTAGCCGGACCAGACTATCAATTTCAGCAGTAAGCGCTGAGGACGGACCGTGTTGATTTTGTCTGGCTCTGTGGTGATCATTCACGGGCATTACTTTGATCTAGTTAAAACAATCCATTCTCATTGGTCGCCCCTGGCTTGCTCGGTCATATCGTGAAACAGGTTAGGGTTTCAGTTCATGGTTGCCTACTTCAAACAGTGTTAATAGATTCAACGCTTTACTCGAAATATGCTACGTCTACTGGTAGATTTCTGACGCTTTAAAATTCCATTTTCTTTTATTACCTTCGAGGAAGGAAAACAAGTTTTTGCCCTGTATCTTAATCTTCTGAAAACATAAATGGTCAATGGCCTTGACCAGACGCCTGTCACCATGGTAACAGGTGCTGTAGCAGACACCCTGTGGTGTTGGATTACGTCTCATGTAGCTAATGGCTGATAAACATATGTATGTATGTATGGATGTGTTTGAGTAAAACTTAAAAGAGCAGTAGATTGAGTAGATATTTATGCATTTGCTTTGCAACTGTCCTATTTAACCCGTATCTCGCTAAATTAAAGTTTAAAGTTGTGGAGTTTAACGAGTTTCTCCCCGGTACATCGTCACTGATTTCCACATACATACAGTACCCTCAATATACAGCTTCTATCATTGGCATCTGCAATTTGAAGATTATGACTGAAGATTAGCCATTTGAGTTCCGCCAGTGCATTATGTGGTTAGATAGGGTTCACCTGGATTCTGTACCAGGGGCACATAGATGCATTTAAACTGGACAGTTTTATTTCGATCAGAGTCGAATGTCTCTGGTTAGTAGGTCAAAGAGCACTCAAGCATTGCTAGGACCCATTATGACCTGAATAGACTGTATCCCCCGGCTGTAATAAACAGTGGTTCGCCAATCATGGTCCATTGGGGGATGCCTAAGACTAGCAGACGTGCGGGAGCAATAGGTCAACCCCATGACATGAACCACAACAGAGCTTATAAAGCAAGTTTAAACTGTAATTTCTAACACAGAAGATTGGACTGTACAACTCCAGTCTCTGTCAAGGAATGAGCAATCCACCGCTTCCGCTATGCAGATGACACACGTTTCATTCCTTGGCAAAGACTGTACTTCTACAGTCGAAAAAAATTGGGTAAGCCAAATCCTTTGTGTTGGAAATTACAGTTTTAAGTTGCTTCATAATGACTTTCAAGATATCACAACAGAACTTGCACAATTTAAAATCTCCAAATGTATTTTCTAATAACATGCTAAACGCTTATAACAACACCTGCTCAAAGGAATCTGCTGTTAAACGTTACCTTAATTACAACATGACGCATTCCAACTTAAATCCAACGGAGATCCTAAAAAGATTAAGGTAATGGATTCGGCAGGTACCTTTTATATGTCAAACGTTTCTGAACTTAGATTCCAATTAAAATCCTGAGTTGTGTAAGCCCGTGTGTTTGCGTTGTCTAATTACATGCACACACTGTGGTCTGGTGAGCTTAGCTGAAAGATTAGATATATAATTAGAAGTGTAGACTATACAATATGCACGGTCAGGATGTGGAATTACGCAGAAGGCGTACCGATAATTATCATAGCGTACCTTAACACAATCACTAGACTTGCGAACTGTTTTAAACGTCTTGCCATAACTTATATAGGCTTGGGATCTCAGAGTCATTCATCAGACTACGGAAATGTACTTTCTACAACCCCTGTGGGAGATATTACCCTGCAAAAGCGACCCCGGACTATCGTTGTTCACTCTAGCGTTACGGAAAGGAAATTATTACCTTGACAGCAAGTCGTTCCATTTGACCAAGATTAATGTCATCTGGGAGATTACCCAAGTGTTGTACGCATCTCAGCACATCTTGGGCCCAGAAAAGTTCGTAATTAGATTGGTTGAAGCTCAAGGCTATTAGTAGAAAGCGTAACTTCTTTTGTGCAATAAAAATGCATGAATGCATAGACAGACTTGAGAAATTGGCTGTCTGCTACGTTATAATATTATCATACACCTAAAATACGCCAATGTCAGACTTCATTTCAACACAAGCTAGATAGATTTTTAAGCTTCCGTCTAAAGAATAAGAAAAACTTTCGGCATATCTATCGCCTGGTATTTTTGTTCTCTTATTTAAGATTGTTGCGCTTGACTGGGTTTTCATGACTACCGCGTTTAGAGAATAAGCAAACAGTCTAGTGGAAAAATTACCTTTAGACCAACATTTAATGATTGCAAATGGATACTGAATAGCGTGTATCAATTAAATGTAAAATTGTGTTCTCTTCTGTCTTTCACAGTGATCACCGACTAGCCTGATGTTGTCAAACGTGAGCGAGATGACCGTGAACGAGTCCTCGGGGATCGGCAACGAGTCGGGCCCGCCGTGGTTCGGCCCCGCCTACCACCCCGTCATCATCCCCGTCGTGTACGGCGTCATCTCCGTCATCGGTCTGACGGGAAACTCTCTCGTCATCTACGTCGTCATGAAGTACGCCCGAGTCAAGTCAGTCACCTACCTGTACATACTAAACCTGGCCCTGGCGGATGAACTGTTCGTGTTACTCCTCCCCCTCAATGCAGCCAGCATCGGGCTGGAGACCTGGCCGTTCGGAACAGTGATGTGTAAGATATCCCTGTACGTAGACACCTTGAACCAGTTCGTCAGTATCTTCTGCCTGACGGTGCTGAGCGTGGACCGGTTCGTTGCCGTGGCGTGTCCCGTGATTTCTGTCAACCGTCGTAACACCCGTATGGCTCGGACAGTCAACATCAGCGTGTGGGCCATCTCACTGGTGGTCAGTTCCCCTACGGTCATCTTCGCCACCGCGGACCCGGCCCCACTACACGAGTCCCACGAGATCACGTGCAACCTGGACTGGCCTAAAAACGTGTCCCGTACCATGGGCGAGGCGTGGGTCATCTATACCTTCACCCTGGGGTTTGCCGTGCCGCTGATTATCATCGTCACGTGCTATTCCCTCATGACCAGACGGCTCTGCGACAGCGTGAAAGGCACCTCCGTCCAACGCAACCAGTCTCGCCGCCATCGCGAGAAGGCCATCAAGAAAGTCGAGCGCTTGGTGGCCGTGGTGGTGACGGTCTTCGTCATCTGCTGGCTGCCGTTCTACATCTTCCAGATCGCCAACCTGTTCCACACATTCGACATGTGGGACCTGGAGACGGTTGCCGGCCTGTTCTACTTCACCATCGCCCTGTCGTATTCCAACAGCTGCTGCAACCCCGTCCTCTACGCCTTCTTCGACGAGAACTTCAAGAAGAGTTTCCAAGAAGCCCTGAAGATCCGCCCCAAGATCCGCTTCACCAAGCACCTCGCACCGAGCAACGCTTACAACACTTTCTATTCACGCCGCACAGAGCTGGTGACCATGACCGTGAAGTCCACAGTCCCGATGACCACTGGAGATACACGAATGGACACGCTGAAGCTGCCCAACTGCGTGCCCACACCGGAGATGTCCAAGCACTTTGGGCAGGAACAAGCCGGGCCGACCGGACGGAAACACGTCCAACAGCTAACGTAAACACGCTGCTTGTCAGCTCTGTTCTCCGAAATATTAGCTGTAGACGCGAAAAGGCGTCCATGGGTTACCCAAAGCTGACATATTTTCGGCAGGTAGGTACTGCAGTATTTCAAACGACGAAGAGTATGAAAATATGGATAATTCTTACCACTGATAATAAATAATCAGCATCAGAACGACAACACTCAAGCGCTTCACAGTACGAGGAACATTCGTTTCAAAATTTCATTTTCCAGCTCTGATACCTGACGAAAAAGTGTGACAACACACTTCTTAATTACACAACAGCAACGAAGAAAAATAACGGAGAAATAACTATCAGTTTATAAATCACCACATAATGGTTTATAAGGACGAAGTAGAGGCCTTTAGGAAATGACTACATGAAATGAGTAGCACACATGGACAAGGCGACATATTAATTCTGTTTGGAACAATTTTATCCATCATTATAAAAAAAGATTCGATGAAAACAAAACAAGGTTGGCATTAAAAATAATTGCCATGGCAAAGGTTTCTAGTTAAATATTTAGCGCTATTTATCTATTGATGAAGTTGTTATGTGATATGGTTGTGATTGTACGTTGTCTGAGTGTTTGTGGACAATGGTTTTTAGTTTACTCTATCGGCTGGATGCTCCTGCCATGATTTTTGATGTATACGTACTATGCTATGGAGGGGAGAAAGGGCGGAAATACTAGTAAGAGTAGATACCCACTTCACATGAACCTTATTTTGTACACTAACAGTCTCCAAGCATCCCAGAAAGAGGGACAAAATATCCGGTGGCTGTTTCACGCAACGTATACATATATACCCGATACACAATGTTGTACATTGTACCTACTGCCGGGACATACAGGCGCCAATAGTACATGCACGGGCATTTCAGAAATTCCTGTGCTGTAACCAAGGAGCTCCAACATAACGTCCTTGCTGTAACTGAAGCGGGCACATTATATACTAGTAGGCTCGCTCCTGAGGCTTCGCCAAAAACGTTACAAGAAAAACAGTTCAAACGTAAGATCATTCCCTTTTCATTATATCCATTATAATTGTGATAGAAGAGTATATGCCTGGCTGTGAAAGGATTTCCTCAAACACTACAAAATCGCGTATAAGAAAGGAGTTGACTTATGCTAGAGGATTCTAAATTGGTGTCTGGCATAGTACAATAGGTGTATTGACCACTGGTATCCAGATGCTAGACATAAAATCTATGGATGTGTCTTAGGAATTATGCTTCATGATATTAACATGAGTCTTCAGAATTCTGTGTCTGAAGTAACTATTTCAAGGGCAAAATAAAGTGAAATACCACAGTCAGTAAGAAACATAATTTGAATGATCTACATAAGACCGATTGAATTATCTGCATATACTGATAAACACTCTTTCTCTCTCAAACACATTTTCTCCGTCTCTCTCCTTCCCACATATACTTATTTGTACACACACACACACACACACACACACACACACACACACACACACACACACACACACACACACACACACACACATAAGCAAGCACGCACGCGCGCGCGCACACACACATTCTCTGTCTCACACACATTCTCTCTCACACACATTCTGTCTCACAGACACATACATTCTCATACAGATGCACATACACACCTTTTAAGTATAACAATGGAAAAATCAAGTATCGTATACATATTGAGCAAGGGCTATTCTATTTCAGAAGTCTAGCAAGGTACTTTCTCCATATTGTACCTGCTCCTCCCAAAATTGAGTACAAGTGATTAAATGGAATCCAAATCCAGTTTATCAAACTTTTAAGTGCATGATTACATCAGCACATGTCCATTGGCTGACTAAAAACGTTTTGCGTATCTTGATTACAAAATGGGAAAATGTGTGTGAAGTAAAGCCCTTCCCATGACTTTGCTCCTAAACACTCCACAACCAAGGTCGGCACTGGATTGAGAACAGTCTAAAATACGCTCTATTCTAGCTCCAGTTTGCTCCTCTGGTCACATCTAAGCAGAGTATGACATTCCTTAATTACTTTTTCAAATTTACAATCCACTGGTGCAGATGACTTTAAATTATAGACTGGAGGGCAACCTCACCGACCAAGTTCCAACCACAGATGCTCCTCAGTCCTAACCATGGCCTGGAGAAGGTCAGGAGGTCATGGTCAGTGAAAACAGCCATGACTGTGTGTGAATGAGAAAAGTTCTTAATTTCTCAAGCCAGTACACTGTGGCGAGCCTACACTGTTTTGGAAAATGAAGATAGCAGACAAAATCAATATAATATTTATGGGGCCTCGAGGATCCATGTCTAATTTTGATCTTGTCTGTCTTGCTCTCAAGGCAATTTCTTTTATCCTGGAACAGCTCTTAAGAGACAATGTAAACCATATATCCTTAAGGTTTATATATCCACACAATCCTGCATTGATTAATATGGTAGACTTAATTCTTGTGTACTTTTGTTATAGTTAATAAAACTGAAGATACAGATTCAAAATTGATTGGATAACTCAGTTTTTGTTTCTTGAAACTTGAAAGAATGTGTTACTAGTAGATACGTTGTGTTAATGGTGTAAAAGTTACTATATTGACTAGAATCAAACTGGACACAATAGAACTGTGGTGCTCGTGTGAGTTACCATGTGTAGTCTGTGGGTCGATGTACTTAACATTGTCATAGAAACGGTCAGGTAACGTATTTTGTATCGTCTCGATGGATTACAAAAAAGGTATTTAAAATAGTGTACATGTACATGTATATCTTACCAAAGGACAAGAGATCACAACACAATGTAACATAGATAGAATGTAATATTAGTGAGCACAGTTTCACCAAGTGTTGACAGTAAGCTGCTACGCTGTACATCTCAAACGCTAAGAACTACTCGGACTTGTTATTGACTAGTATTGTGTGTGATTCTTTGTAGTCGTAACTTCCTGAAGCGTGACCAAAGTTGATTGTAATGTTTATATTGGCAAAGATGTATACTTATTATTGGCAAAAATGTAAACTTATAAGGTGAAGAGGTTATAGGAAATACATATCGGATACTGAACAACCTAACGTACCAAGTCCTGTGAAAGGTGCAAAAGTTAAGCTGGTTCACAGTTTAGACTGTGCATGCATATTCCAATGCATTGTGGGTAATATATCAAAATTGATGGCACTGACCACTTAGACAAAAAAACAAAAAGCGTTAGGACATGATGACAAGCATGATATAGACAAGAACAGTTAACAAGTCAGTGACCTTTATCTGTGACCATGTACATGTACAGTTCAACTGTGAACTGGCTTCTATAACTATTTTGCTGTGTTTCTACTGTGCCAAATGTATAATGATATGTCCCTAAAAACCAAGATGTAGTACATGTATACAAAAGTTGTGGTTCATGAAGACACAGGTCACCCCCCCCCTCCCCCTGTATGAGGACACTCACTGTCTTATTCGACCCCGAAGGACTTTACCAAGATAAGTTCGTTATCAGACATAATTGTATAATTGCATCATAAACTTCAAGATAGATGAGAAGTCAAATACATGTACAATGTATCTACATATCCCTATATATTTCATGTGCAGAATAATAAACGGAAATTAACTTTGACATGTGTGTTTATTTTTGGCCACACTGTCACACACAAGAGAAGATGACTTTTTTCACTCAAACATCACTAGACAGCTAGTATATACATTCAAGTCAGAATATATAAACTAGCACATTAAATACGTTACAATAAAATTGCTTGTACCCTAGAACTTCTTTATTACCATTCATATCCACACAGGATATTAATATACACGATGCCTCCCCTCTCTGTTAAAGTCTTCCATTCAAAAATGTCTCCTAACAATACAATATTTAAAAAAAATTTTAAACACCTCAGCTCCCCTGTGCTACATACTACATTGTTTAATTGCACTGACATATAAGGTTACCTGTTGTGACATCACTGTTCTGAGTGTACTAGTATGTAGGTATTGAAACATTAGATAGCAGCATCACTCAGTTGTTAATTCCTCAAAGTTTTTGGCCATTTCCAGAGCAAGTGGATTTAAGTTAACACCTTGTAGATTACAGAGTATGGCAACAACAACCCCTTTAGGTGGCAAAGTATCCATCGGTGTCTCTGTACTGTGTTTAGGTGGCAGGACGAGAAGCACACTGCTTGCTCCAACAGCGCCCCCTGTGTGACTCACGTAGAAGCGCTGCTCCCGGCCATGGCCATATTCTACCTTATTCGGGATGACCCCCCACCCCATTCCATAGTAGCCGTCTGCATTCTTGTCCCATGAACACTTAGTGTTGGCTGCAGGACCCCACACTTTTGCCATAGTGTCACACTTCAGGTAGCCCGGAGCTAACTTGTTCTCAGAGTTACTGCTACAGGATTGAAAGCTGTACAACATGGCGTTGGCAAACTGTAGCAGGTCGGGTATGTTGGAGATGAAACCACCTCCGGCCCACTTGTACGATGTATCCACGTATGGACAGTTGATCAGACGACCCTTGTCATTGTGTGTGTAGTACCTTGAGAAAAAGCAACATTGTACTTTCAAGCAACATTGTACTTTCAAGTGAACGGAAGATACATGTATGTCTGACTATACTGTGCTGTCAGCCATTTGGACTATTCCATCTGAGCAGTTAGAGAGGGGATAGTCATAACGATTCATTTTATTCCAAAGGGAAGCCCATAAGGATCTGTTTTAAAATCATGGTTATTGGTTTAGCATTTGAAAAAGATGACATGGAAGAAAAAAGGAAAAGACAAAATACTCCAAACTTCCAGGTTGAAGATAAAGCTAGGTAACACAGTCATGTAGGTACTCAAAAACATAGAAAGATACATGACATACAATGCATGCTAGGTACATGTATAATGGTTTTCATGACAACTAGTGCATAAAAAATACAAGGAAATGAGAAGAAGTCTTAAGCTGTAAACAGAGGTCTTACCTGGACCTGTGGTAAATGATAGGCTCGTTGAGATCAGCTGAAGTGTGGAACATCCCCAGGTCTCGAAACATCTTGTTCATGACTTTAAGGAAGTCGGTCTTGGCTGCACTTTCAACCACTGCACTCACAAGGGTCCATCCATGGGTGGTGTACAGGAACTCTGTACCTAGGGTGGAGGGATAGGGCAAACATGCATAAAACGATATCATGCAGTTGCACATGTAGTTAATGTGAGGAAGCAAGCTATCATATATCTACATTACAATTAGTAACATCTATCAAGGCACCACTGTACCTGGTCTGGACATTAAGGGATCATCCTTGAAGAGACTCAGGGAATCTGTGACATTTTTGAAGTGCTTCTTGATGTAGAATTCCTTGCAGGCAGAGTCTCCCTTCCCTCGAGTGCTCTTCTTCCCAGCCTGCCAGGTATCAGACTTTTCCACCTCTGTACCGGACTGTTTTTTCTCTCGATCATCTTTGTTCTCCTGCAGGTTATATCAGGAATAAAACAGTGGACGTATGAAAGAACATGTTTCACAACTATGTATTCCTTACCCATTATGAGCAATATGAGCATTATGACAAATAACACAATGTAAAAAGTTTCAGAAATCATTCCTATCTCCATTACTAGTACATTACTTTTAGCTGTAAATAGGAGGATTCTACCTCTTCTTTTGTGATTTTGTTCTGTTGTTCCTTGTCAACTTTGTCTTTTCCCTTCTTCTTCTCATAGTGTCTGATACCAGCCAGATTGGAGACCAGATGCCTAGTGGTGATGGTAACCTACACATGGAAAAAAAAAGGAAAGTGATCTTGATCCAGTTTTAGTTCATTGTAGATCTACTTTTCCACTGGTCATGATAGAGATGATAGATGTATGTATAGTATTTACAATTACAGGTTCACCGTACTAATTCCCCTAGCCACAATGAACAGTGGACCACTGCTTAATGTCCAGGACTGCAAGGTTCCTAACCACTGGACTACACATGCAACAAGATGAAGTAATAGAATATATGCATCTCTCTGACTTACAGTTTCTCCCTGGAATGTTTTGACAGGCCATGAGGGGACGTACTCCTGTACAGGCTTGTCCAAGTCTACCTTCCCCTCCTGCCACAGTGTAGCCAGGGCTGCCATGGTCAGGGGTTTGCTGATACTTGCAATTCTCATAATTGTTGCAGGGTGGCACTTCACACGGTTTTCCACATCTGAATATCCAAAGCCTGTAGATGGAAAGGAGAAATGTACATACAAGATAGTATTCGCTAAAAAAGTATGTTAGTAGAATAGTAGATATTTATAACAGTGACATAGTTTATATGTTGTAACTTATAAGTTAGCTATTTCCCCATTACACTTAACGTTACACTTCTCACAGATTTCTGAGATGTAACACTACCTGTACTGTGCTGAAGTTCATCAAATATTCTGAGAATTTTTGACCTATCAGTAACTGTTCTAATGTCACTATTTTCAAATTAAGCTTAGCAAAAGACACTTTAATTTTGTATATCTGTTTGAGGTATTGCAACCCAATGAGAATACGGCAAATTTGCATCTTCATTTTAACATGACCTAATTTTGACTCACCTTCTGTCCATACTTCCTTCCCGTCCACACTCACACCGACCACCATCCCGGGGGCTCCAACCTCATCCTGACAGTACAAGCAACATGTTTCAGGTGCATACATGTATTCACAACATTAAGTATAAATCATAATACATCAAAGAGAGTGAAGATTTATTTTGGCCTTGTCTGTTTGTGTGTCTGTACATGTGCGTCTGTGTGTCTGTATGTGTTTCCACACACATTCTGCCCGAGCAGTGCAGGTGCAGTTTCTGTATACTATATGTTCTGCCAGATGTCAGTCACTTCTGAGGGGAATAAGTCTGCTATCTCTGATAGTTATATAACTTATAAGTTATATCCTCTGTAATTTGATAATAAGAAAATGAGCTATAAATTATGCATGTCATCAATCAAACATATTAACTCTTCTCATCTGCATAACTTTTGGATCCCCTAACTTAACCTGGGTATTAATACAACACCCCCTCCTATATATTAAGTGGTACGCCCCCCTCCCTCCACTATTTCAACAGTATTTACCTTGACTCGCTGTACGAGGTCTCTCGCCTCTGTTATGACAGTCTGTAGCCGGGTTGTCTGGTCCTTGGGAGGAGCTAACACATCTTCTTCTAACAGCTGTTGTCCCGTGGGCTCCTCACAGTCACTGAGAAAATGACTCGCCGTGGACCATAGAACTGCAGACGTCCCGAGTCCAACACCGATCAAACCGGCCAGCCCTCCCACAAACCTGCGCGCTGCACCGCTGCCGTGCCACGAGTTATAGCTTCTTACCAACGTAAACGGAGTAGAAAGAATGGTAGGCGATCGTCTGTGCATTCTTGTAGTATTTAGTTTCCTCAAAAAACGGCCTAAAGTTGCTCTAAAGCTAAGACACACGTGCCCTCCCCAACTAGAACTACTGGGTCTCCCACCGATGTTTTTAATCAAGGGACTGACCATTATTTTTCATGGGGGTCTAACATCGTGTTAGGGATAGGATCATATTGATTCCTTTTATAAGTGAACCCGTCTAACGAGATTGGACATCGATGTTTTCTACTGTGTTTTGAAATTGGTTTCAGTTATCAATGCATTCTTTGTAAATGTGCACATGCACGTATTATGAATTTCTGTTCTCTGCAGTTGTCCGATGAGTAACGTTAGTACAAATGTATTTCCGCCTTTAACATTTTAGATGGGCTTTTTTAGTCGTCAGTTACCAAGAAAATTTATTTGAGATGCTCTCGCGAGTGATGAGTCATCGTCAGTTGTGTTCAGATCAGCCGAGCTGGGTCAGTAGTATTTCTACTGGGACTTTCCCACCTGTTGTCTCCTCGGTTTCTGATCGCGAGGAGGAACCGAGAGAAGGAAGTGATAGGAAGAACAATTTCCGCCAGGTATTCGAACGCTTACATGTCGGACTCGGAAGGTAGCCCGAAGTTGTCGCGGAAAACAAACAACAGGTTTGTCTGAAATATTTCTTATCGGGTACCGCGTGACAAGGGGCAAAGACCACTTTCCCTCGTGATTTGGCGGACGCGTGACCTCCTTTAGCTCCTACACTTGCCACCATGTGGGTCGGACTTGTCCCTGCCCTGCTGTGTGTGTTGGTTGTACCGCCCGGGGTACTGACCACCCCACTGGACGACTACGTCAACAAGCCGGACCCGCACTACTCCTACCACGAGGTGTTGGAATGGCGTCTGAAGGGTCCCGGCTACACCATGTACCTCCTCAACATGACCTCACAACAGTGGCTCACAGGTGAGATATAACAGTTACATGTAACGTTACATGTACATAGCAGGCAAACCTCTTTGTGTACGTTTGTATCGCAATTTCTGTAGGTTTGTGAATAAACATAAAATCAGTTACCCCCAGCCGTAAGCATTTTTTAGCCTTAGCGTATTATGAGGAGATAACAAGCAGATAACATATTATCATGAAAGTTAATCTGTGTTGGTAGTTACATGTTTAAAGTTAAAACTTTTGGTCCAACACAAAAAGTTCTCTCGCCTAGAGCTTTCGACCAGTCTACTGGGGAAAAGACCAGAGTGACTGGTCGAAAGCTCTACGTGAGAGAACTTTTTGTGTTGGACCAAAAGTTTTAACTTTAATGTGACAGATTACATATTACTTCAGATAACAAGTAGAAGCGCCCCCATGCGACTTTGGTGGACTTTATCATCCGGATGCGCTTCTATTTCCATACGATGGAATACGGATATACGGCGGTTTAATAGGCGGAATATTAATGTCATGAATCAAATCTTTCGTAAAATTATTTCAAAAGTTAATTTTCTAGGTATACACACACGTTATAGCCACCCTCATTCAATTTTTGTATACTTTCTCTGTATGTGCTTCCAGAGGAGGAAGTTAGCCGTCCGATCTGGTGGCATTTCCTGACTGTGACTATCCCAGACAACATCACCCACCCTGAGGCATCATTCATGTTCATAGAGGGAGGAGGAAACGATAATCCAGACAGGTATCGACTTCTTATTCTCATCCCGTTTCATTTTTTTAGCATGTGTTCCACTCCTGCTTATATGCGCTGTCCCATCTGACATATTTGCTCTATCTTTATTGCAGCCTCCCCGGCCATAACGACAATTTCATCGAGCTGACCCAAATGTTTGCGGTATCAACAGGAAGGTATTAAATAAATGTATACATGTATTATGTAGCGTTTTCACTACTAAGGAATAGTTGCAATATACTAGTAATACATTAAAGGGGTATTACTGATTCTGTGTTTCTCTAGTGTCGGCGCGGACCTGAAACAGATACCCAACCAGCACATCGTGTTTAAGGTAAGTATCTTGAGTATCAGCTGTATTTATCAGTACTAGTAGACCTTTCTGCATTGATGAATGGACATTGTGCTTGGCCTTACCGGCCATCTGAGTGTTGACCGGCGGCGGCCTGCCACTCGTAGGCATTTTGCCATCCCCCGCATGGTTTCTTTTAAATTGATTCAATTCAGGTCAATTCAATTAAATTCAAAGCAATGCAATGCATGCAATGCAATCTTTCTTGGCGGTTTCACCCCTTTCAGAACGATTCACTACGAAAACAACGATCAGAAGACGCCATCATCGCGTTCACGTGGAAACACTTTCTGGACAACCCGGACCAGCCGGAGTGGCTACTCAGGAACCCTATGACAAAGGTAACATGGCCTTCTGTGTCAGCTACAATAAAAGATTCCATGGTGTACGAGATTCGAGATTCGTGCCATCTCTGTTTATCGTTACGATAATCCTTATTTCTGATAGCATAACCGGAGTATAACTGTTGATTGTGTTGAAGGCAGCAGTGCGGGCCATGGACACAATACAGGACTTTACAAAGAAGATGACGGGGAATCAGCCAGACAAGTTTCTGATAGCAGGTGCTTCAAAGGTATGTCGTGTTGTCATTCATTTACACAAATATGATAAATTTGCCAGAAATGTTTCTGCCCTGTAAATATTCTTTTTTTTCATAAGATTAGCAATATTTTGCCACAGTAAGTGTATTGACATTACTAATATCAATGTTTCCTAACCTAGCGCGGTTGGACCACGTGGACCACCGGTGCGGTAGACAAGAGGGTGTTTGCTATAGCTCCTCTAGTTATGGATCTTCTGAACTTACAGAAGGTATGTATCATTGTATGTGAGGATACAGAAGAGATCATTATAGCTATTTTGTGTTGTTTTCTCTAAATATATATTTCAGGAGATTGTAGAAAATGTTTTCATTTTCGTCATTACCGAATAGATATATTATTCTACATGTACTGAAGGTACACTACAGTGACTACTATACTAACAGGGTAACTTCCTGTATCATGAACAGAATTTGCACCACTTTTACCGAGCGCTGGGAGGCTGGACTTTTGCTTTTGACGACTACTATGACGTGAATATTACGGAAAGACTTGACGACCCAAATATAGAAAAGATGGCAGCCATCATTGACCCACTCGGTAAGACTACATTTGTAGTATAGTCAGTGTCCTTACTGTGAGACTGACATTAACCGACTAGTTTAAACAGTTGACACGATTTCTTCATCATTTACAAGATCAGCAGATCAGTAAATCTGAGAGATTTCTCTTTTTTTTCTGCAAAATATCTCAGCATACAAGGATCGTCTGACGATGCCAAAGTACATCATTGGAACAGGAGGGGACGAGTTCTTCATGCCGGACGATTCTTACTACTACTGGGACCAGTTGGAAGGAGAAAAATATAGAAGGTAGAGGCAAAGAACATATCAGTTTACTTCTTAGCATGTTGGAATGCTGGCATTTGTTTTTGCACTCTACTGAAAGGCATTGCCTAATTTGACAGATAAGTTTTCTAGTAGTCTTTTTCATACACCTTAATAAAGCTCTGATTTAATGAAGTGTCTTTGTCAAACATAAATATTTACAGATGGATACCAAATGCCGAACACTCATTAGCGGGCCATGAAATCAGCCTGTTCTTTGGAATGCGGGCGTTTTTCTTCAGCATTGTGGAGGTATTGTTTCAATCTTATCTGAACCTTTATCATAGTATAGAGGAAACTTTAATATCAGTGTTCAGTATGTTTTCTGTATTGTGTTTGTGAAGTTTACATAACGAACTTGTTTGCACACAGAACTCCCCGCGACCAAAGCTGACGTGGACGAGGGAAACGGTAAGTCCTAATTTGTATCGGGTGTTTGAATTATTTGATCCAAAAATACGCATGGTTTTCCCAACACATTGACAAGAAAATAATTGGTATTTATGGTAAGTGAATTCACGAATGAAAATTACAAATCACTATATTTTTCTTAGGGGGAAAGAAGTGGGAAGATAACTCTACATACTAACATGGAACCTATGATCATCCGGTCTTTCCACGCCCGCACACTTGATGGAAAAAGGTTAGTATATCTGGCGTATTCTATCCTACTTCTGTTACTTACACTGTAAATATTGATTGCCTGAGATACACAGGGACCAGATACATTTTCTTTAGTTCAATATCCGAAGAAATTCGGGAATTTTTCTTCCCTCAGACGTGACTTTCGTCTGGTGAACCAACCCCCCGGAGAGACGAAACCTCAGCCACATCCCGTCATCTGGCTGCCACAGGACGTACAACACATGGTGAGGACCTGTTCACAAATATTACAAAACTAAATCTTCAGCTAACCAATGTTTAAACGTAACCGAGCGAACCGGTAATTTGGGAAGACGAAATATAGCTGACGGTAAAAGAGTTCTCTCTTTTTTTTAGCTATTTTTTGACAAATTTCTTTAATCATTTTCTTCATCCATGTTCTTCAGGGAAATGGGACGTACGTTGCGGAGTTTGATATCCCCTCTGTCGGGTGGCTCGCGTTCTTCATCCAGGTGAGTGAAGTGCAGAATTTGTCTTGCATAATTCTTACAAAACTGATAGAAATAGGCTACCTCATTTTTTACAGTAGAATAGTCCCGGTTGAATCATTGTTTACCGAGCACTCTTGTCAATTGAGTAAGACGCAATGATTGAATGAAAAGAAAAACATTCTATTTTCCTACCTTTTAATTCCCGACTGGACCTGTCCTGTTGTTTCCCCAGGCCACGTTCCCGGCTCCCCATGGAACTGCTCTGGAGTTCACCACCGAGGTGCACATCATCCCGGAAACATTCCCCTTCCCAGACTGCACCGGGGCTGCCTGCAGGGGGACTCTTCTGTAAACTCGTCAGATGTATTAATCCAGATCTGTTCCTAAAAGTAATTCATGTTTTTGACACGAATCGAAACGCATTGTGTGTTCTGGAAAAGACGTTTCTATATGTACACAAATAAACAAAGATGTCGTTGTATGATCTGTTATAGCCGTTTTTATTATGTGTCACTATCAGGAGAATATTATTAATAGTCTCAACAAGTTGTCCGTAAATGATAAATGGTGATATATACTATATGTTAAGTCATCATAATCTGTGGGCTGGTGCGAACGGTGTTAAGTACGCCACAGTAGTTGTTGGGCTTTAAAAAAAAGGCCATTTGTATGGCATAAATTGAACGGGGCATTAAGTTGAACGGGACACCAATTTGAACGGGACATAAATTTGGCCAGGCATAAATTTGGATGGGACATGAATTTGGTCGAGGTATAAATTTGGTCGTTGCATAATTTTGGATGGAGCATACATTTTGGCCTGGGCATAAATTTGGCTGGGCATACACTTAGCTTGCGCTAAATTTGGCTGTGTATATATATTTGGTCGGACGAACGTGGATATGCACATGCACATGCATATCCCGTGCACATTCTACAATGGTTTGCCCGGCGAACCTTTATGTACTGGTATGTCGGAAGGCTGCGTTACCACAACATACACGACGTTTAATTTGTCTGCAATATTTCTTATCGGGCGGTGACAGTTTGTCAACAGTTATCGCGTGACTCACGAGGTCAAAGTACAACGTTCCCTCGACCCTCGTGATTTGGCCGCCGCGTGACCCCCTTTCGTACACTTGCCACCATGGCGGTAGGATTTCTCCCCGCCCTGCTGTGTGTGTTGGTTGTCCCGCCCGGGGTACTGACCACCCCGCTGGACGACTACGTCAACAAGCCGGACCCGCACTACTCCTACCACGAGGTGTTGGAATGGCGTCTGAAGGGTCCCGGCTACACCATGTACCTCCTCAACATGACATCACAACAGTGGCTCACAGGTGAGACTTGCTGCCCTGTGTTTACACCAAGCTCTAGCTGCCGGGGGTTAATGAATGAATGGATGGATGAACACCTTTATCGTACGTACACTGGATTATGTACAGGTCAAAGCAGAGGAGTATAAGTGAATTCGACTTCTTAATTGTGATTATCGAATGAGAGTAAATGTTTCAATCGAACTTGAATGTTCGTCTTCCATTAGGATTGTAAATTTGTCTGTACTGCTTAGGTGTATGAAGCCAAAGACTAATTTTCCAGAGAATTGATCTATTGATGCACACACTCTACTTGTACCGGTTTACAGAGGATGAAGTTGATCACCCGATCTGGTGGCACCTCCTGATCGTCACTGTCCCAGACAACATCACCCACCCTGAGTCCGCATTTCAGTTTATAGCGAATGAAGATAACACAAACAGGTATCAACATCATGCCGTCATTTCGGTTCAATTTTTTTAGGCAAGAACGTTACATATCATTTCTCTTTACATTATTACAGTGTTTTCGTGTGGTGATCATGAAGTATTGCTCAATTTTACAGTTCACAACTTGCTCTTTCTTTTATTCCAGTCTTCCCCCCCATAATGACGAATTCATCACGCTGACTCAAATGTTTGCGATATCAACAGGAAGGTATGAAATGAAGCCGTGCAATGGTTCAGTCTACAATATATGACATCTGTACAGTATTTTCAAACATCAATGGCTCATTTGGTCCAAAGACAGTGTCCCACAGCCAAAAGGCTGAAATGTTTTTGGGACGTTACAATGAGGTAAAAATTGTATCATAGTACAAAGTAAAAAGTTATTTAGCCGTTGAAATAGTATTTACACGACATTACATAAAATATATGAATATAAACATTAATATCAACATTAAAATCCTTATCATGTCAAAATACGTATTGACTTGTGTTGAGAGTACGCTACAGTCATGAGAAACTGATTGAAAAATGAATAGTGTAACAAACGCGGTGACAAAGAGATATTTGTGATTCTGCCTTCCCCTAGTGTCGGCGCCCTCCTGTATCAGGTACCCAACCAGCCAATCGTCTTTAAGGTAAAAAGTTAACATCTTTACTACTAGCGCTAGCAATGGGTAGTAGCAGAATGTGGGACAAGAATGTTTTCTTATTTGCTAAGCATCGATGAATGGAAGAGGCATGTATGTTTGGGTATGTAGACATTTTACAACCCTGTTTATGCTTTCTCGGCTTTTGTCTTTTAAACTCTCTGTTTTCATGATCATCCTATTTCAGAGCGATCCTCTACAAAAGCGTCGATATGAAGATGACATCATCGCGTTCACGTGGAAACACTTTCTGGACAACCCGGACCAGCCCGAGTGGCTGCTCAGGAACCCTATGACAAAGGTATTATGGCCTTCTGTGTCAGCTAGATTCGTGTGGTGTGCAAGAATCGCGATATTCTTGTTTTCAGTCATCATTTCCTGGTGTATGGTTATGATGGTATAGCTGAAGCGTTCTTTATCGTTATCAATCACGTTGTACGTGATCTTTTGAAGGCAGCAGTGCGGGCCATGGACACAGTGCAAGATTTTGTGAAGAGAATGACGGGGAATCAGCCAGAGAAGTTTATGGTGGCAGGGGAATCAAAGGTATGTCATGTCATTACTACTTAGATCTAACATCTTGTAGTTAGGTCAATATTGCATATCATATCTGTATTACGAACTAATATTCGTTGTATCGCTGATGTTTCCTAACCTAGCGCGGTTGGACCACGTGGACCACTGGTGCGGTAGACAAGAGAGTGTTTGCGATAGCTCCAATAGTCATGGATCTCCTGAATATACAAAAGGTATGTACCATTAACATTCGAATGACCTATTTGCTGTTGTCTTCAGAAGATATGCCCATCAGGAGATGCAAAAGTGTTTTGATTCTGTACGTAGAATTTTCTCTATATATAACTATGTATCTATTCAATTAAAGATGCCAAAGTAGGGTGCTTTATCTTAAAGCAGAAACTATTGATTAATATATGACATAAAATATTTATCTTGATTTATCCTGATCAGAATCTGCACCACTTTTACCGAGCGCTGGGAGGCTGGACATGGGCCTTTGGAGGCTACTATGACCTCAACATTACGGAAAGACTTGATGACCCAAATATAGAAAAGATGGCAGCCATCATTGACCCAATCGGTAAGACTCATTTGTGATAACCATTCTAGTAAAATTCTGAATATTACGCTGGTAATATTAGATCCACTCAGATATAAAATGCATAGTTTAATGGTTACGGGAATAAGCTAAGCGCTCGATAGGGTAACCTAAGCATTAGGTTGAGAAATGTAAAGTTCATTTAGTTATTTACAAACATTTTCTCAGCATACAAGGATCGTCTGACGATGCCAAAGTACATCATTGGGACAGGAGGAGACGAGTTCTTCATGCCGGACGATTCTTACTACTACTGGGACCAGCTGGAAGGAGAAAAATATAGAAGGTAACATCAACGAATATAGTTTTGACTCTTCGTGTTATGACATGCTAATAATGACATTGTCTCATTTGATTGAAAAGTGTTCTACTAGTCTTTTTCAAACGCCATAAGTTCTGATTTCTGTCATATATTTACAGATGGATACCAAATGCTGAGCATGAATTATACGGCCATGATATCAGCCTGTTTGCTGGAATGCGGGCGTTTTTCCTCAGCATAGTGGAGGTAGTGTTCTTCAGTCTTTGTCTTCTGTGGTAATTTTGTGAAAATATACGATTTACTTTTTAGTGCGTCCTCATCAGGATGCATTTATTCTGAAAGGTGTCGTGTTTCTTCCGTGTTTGTGACGTTTATACCATGGACTCGTTTGCCTACAGGACTATCCGCGACCAAAGCTGACGTGGACGAGGGAAACGGTAAATACTACATTCTGGTACAAATTCTGTACTATATTTTGGTAAGAAACAAACCACGGTTTTCTCAACACAAATCTGACTAATCTGCAAAACAATAGAATAACATATATCACGATAGACAGTCCGGTAAATGCGAACACTGTACAACATTGGGCTGTATTTGCCTTTGAATAACATTATTGTACTTTTCTAAGGGTGCAAAAAGCGGGACGATAACACTGCAGACTAACACGGAACCTATAACCATCCGGTCATTCCACGCTCGCACACTCGATGGTGAAAGGTAAGTAAGCATCCTCCTTTATTCTTTTGGGCTTAAAATTCTATTAAACGGTATAAAATACATACATTGTAGAGTAGTTGCCTGGAATAGACGGTTTCCAGATGCTCGAGTTTCAGTTACTAAAAAAAATCAAAACGAACTGGAATCTGTAATTTTTCTTTCCTCAGACGTGACTTTCGTCTGGTAAATCAACCCCCAGGAGCTGAGAGTCCACAGCCACATCCCGTCATCTGGCTACCAGGGGACGTACAACAAATGGTACACGTCCATCACGATATTCTCTGATATCACAAAAATATAATTTTCGATGTTTAAGCATCACCGAAACAGTAGTTTGTGAAGGCAGAATAAAGCTAAGCTGAAGAGATAGTTGTGTAGTTGGTATATCTATAAATGGTAATATCGATTTTTGTATGTAGAAATACGCAATACGTTCCCCTTTTGCAACTTCCTGACGAAACGATGTTAAGAAATATGTGATAGGTTTGTCATACATGTACGGAATTTGTTCTACAGGGAAATGGGACGTACGTTGCGGAGTTTGATATCCCCGCTGTCGGGTGGCTCGCGTTCTTTATCCAGGTACGTCAAGTATAACAGTTCGTTTGGTTAAGAGATTACTTGTGATTTTTGTGGCGACGCTTCAGGGGCGGAGGCATTTGTGTATTACTAAGTACTACTAAGTACTACTAAAAAAATTCACGAATGCATTCCCTAGGGAACTGGATTTGAGGTAGCCTTCACTCAGTGGGGTCACTTTACCGGGACCTGTCCTGTTGTTTCCACAGGCCACGTTCCCGGCTCCCCATGGAACTGCTCTGGAGTTCACCACCGAGGTGCACATCATCCCGGAAACATTCCCCTTCCCAGACTGCACCGGGGCTGCCTGCAGGGGGACTCTAGTTTAAATTTGTCAGACGGATTCATCTATTTCTGAAAACGTTTCATGTTTTGACACATGCCTTGAAACATGTTGTGTGCTCCGAAAAAGACGTTTCTGAATTCACACGTCACTTCTAGCGACTGTACAAGTTTTCTGGTACACTTGTCATTTATAACGGTTCAAACGTGTATAGTTTAAGAATGATCAGAATCCACAAATAAACACCGATAAAACAAATCAAGTGTTTTCTGGTATGATATGTTACTATCGTCTGCTGTGTTTATTTGTGATCATGACTGTTACGTATTCAAACTGATCCATGGCATAAACTCCCTTGTTTTTCGAGACAGACGGATGCCAACAACAACAATATTACGTAATCGTTCCATTGTTTGTAATAGTAAGTCACATGTAACGTTATGTGTAAACAGACTGGTTGACCCCAAGATAACATGAAACAAAGTCCTTTGAAGTAGTATGCTTTCGTGTCAAATGCACTTCCATATCCCGTGCACATTTTATAATCATGTCTGCTGAGTGTGTATCTCCGGCTCTGTTCTTCTCCGCCCTGCTGTGTGTGTTGGTTGTCCCGCCCGGGGTACTGACCACCCCGCTGGACGACTACGTCAACAAGCCGGACCCGCACTACTCCTACCACGAGGTGTTGGAATGGCGTCTGAAGGGTCCCGGCTACACCATGTACCTCCTCAACATGACCTCACAACAATGGCTAACAGGTGCATGGGCCTTACAAAGTGCTAAGTGTGTGTTAAACGTACATTTTACAACTTCGCAAACCCCCTTTGATTAATAGAGTTAGTTTAATTCCTTATGCTTGTTTTATGTTAGTCCACGGACCCATAATGAAATGTAAGTTTCATACACCAAGAAATCTTCCATTATGTTTTAGAACTTCCGTGCTGGGGACAATATAAGATTCAGTTTTATAACTTCCGTGCTGGGGACAATATGATGACAGAGGGTAGCCCAGTATTGTATATGTAGTTACCCGTTTCAGCCCTCGGGAGTCACATGAGTACATTAAACATCGCCCTTTGTACGGCACGTGAGGTTTCAGCTTATTGGTCTTTGACCTTTACAAAAAAGTGTCTGATAAAATGTTGACTGATTTGTTTTAACGCGTGAATTTCAACAGAAATCATAGAGATTGTTGGATGGAAAAACTGATATCAAGAAATCATTATCATTGTATTACAACGAGTCACTATAGCCCAGACTACTGAAAGGCTGTACCTGTGCGTGTGCGTGTGTTTCAGAGAAGGACGTCAACCGTCCGATCTGGTGGCACTTCCTAACCGTGGTCATCCCAGACAACATCACCTATCCTGACGCTGGGTTTTTGTTTATAGACGGAGATAACAATGACCACCCAGAAAGGTACCGATTTCCTCTAAATGAAGGACATATACATGTCTAACCTTTAACACACGGAACTAGTTATTTGACTTCCACTTCTGTATCGTTTATAAAGATGGCGAACTAGTGATTATAAGTATTAACTTTCATTCTTTGGCCCCCTATCTGTTTTCATGCATATTTCGAGACATTGCTTTGTTGTATACGGTAATTCATGCATGAATGTATTCTTATTTTCGCTATTATTTTTTTTACACACGTACAGCCTCCCCTCTCATGGTGACAACTTCGTCTCTCTCGTCCACATGTTTGCAGTAGGAACAGGAAGGTACGTTAAGTTAGGTTTACATACAGGTTCTCAGAAAAGAGATACCTAACAGGCCTAGGATACAAGTAACCGATGACTACTTTATCAGCATGTTAAATATACCTATCGAGTAAGACGTTGATGGTCTAGTCCATTGACTGTTGTACATTCTATTTACTATAGCGTCGCTGCAAATTTGAAGCAGGTGCCGAACGGACATCTGGTGTTCAAGGTAAGCCACAGTTCACAGATCTTGCACCACAGTTCACGGACTAAACAATGTGTAATTTTGAAGAGATTTTTAAAGGATAGAACATAGTCCATGCCCTCTAACCCTCTAAGAACTTAGCCCTGTCCACACGGGCCTCCCCAAGCTTGACATGGCATCCTCATGCCGCTCCTAGCCTCGTGAGAGCGCTCAACTGCGGCCGTAGTGAAGTAGCGGTGCGTGCGCGGGCGATGTCCTTGGTGCTGAAATGGACGTATGTAGCCCCTGCCGTGCTGGCTAAAGGCCGTCACGGTAATGAGTGCGTGCTATTGGCCGATCCGACGGAGGGAAAGACGCGGTGGCTGTGCATGGGCAATGTGTTAATTGTCAACATTTCAAAGCTACTAATACAACCGTTTTTGTCTTCTTCGCATTGTAGAAAGATCCACTCCAAAAGCGACTGTCAGAAGACGCTCTTATCGCGTACACGGAGAGACATTTCTTAGACAACCCAGAGGACCCGGAATTCATCGTCAACATGCCGATGGTTAAGGTAATGTAGAACTAAATGGATAGTTGCTTGGTTGTCTTTCTTCTTTCTTTTGACTGAACCATTGAATTGTTCATTGCATGTAATTGTACGTTGCATGAAAGGTTGTACATTCATTATACTTGTCAAATATGTTCCACAGGCGTCTGTGCGGGCAATGGACGCTGTGCAGGATTTTGTGAAGAATATGACCGGGACACAACCGGAAAAATTCATGGTGGGAGGGGCCTCAAAGGTATGTCTTGTTGCGGTTATTAGGTCCGAATACACTCTAGCTCTTCACGTGACTTGTGCGTGGTACATTGTACGATATACCCGGTAGTACATGTAGTGCAGGCGTCCTAAAGCTACGTTTGAAGCTGCATTCATTTCGGCGATATGAAACATGCTAGCCTGGCTATTTGCAAAGATAATAATACTTACTTGTACTTGCACTTGTTGAGGTCTCCTCGAGTTAGTCGTTCGAGTGGCCTGCGCACAGAACTCGTCTCTTCCTCAACAGTCCCCTCCACTTCTTCCTGTCTTTTAAGATAATGATAAATAGTTCTAATTATAGACCTTTGCTGGTGATATGGGCAATATACAAGACACATGGACAATATTAGTGACTACTCTCTTTCTCCTAGCGTGGTTGGACTACATGGGCTACTGCTGCGGTAGACAAGAGAGTGTTTGCCATAACTCCTATCGTTTTCGACCTGCTAAATGTACAGAAGGTATGTAGGCAAGGGAAACGTTCATGCATGTTTTCGTTATCTTTTGTCATTACCAGTTCGCACAGGGTATCGTACATATCAATGTTCATAACCGTTAGCAAGTAGTAAAATTCAAATAAATTCCCCCAGTAACTTATATACAATTTAGCTAAAGAAATACAACCATTACAATTTTGAAGAAGAGTGTGCTAGAAAAAAATATTCTTGCTGTGTATATTTCAGACACTTCACCACTACTACAGAGTGTTGGGCGGCTGGTCCTTCGCCTTTAAAGACTACTACTTCTACAACCTCAGTGCCAGTCTTGACGATCCAAATTACGAGAAACTGCAGACCGTTATAGACATACTTGGTACGTCCTAATCTACGGTTACTTTTCCATACATATAGATATGGTCTTTTCAAACTTTCCTGACTCGGTGGGTCATGAGGATAAAGCGTCAAGTCGCAATGTCATTCGTGGTAGAAGCTAGTAATTTGGTGTGTATATATTTATAATTCTGCAATAAGTTTAAAAAGTACACAACAAACATTATGTTGCAGAATACAAGGATCGTCTGACGATGCCCAAGTACCATATCGGCACGGGAGGGGACGAGTTCTTCATGCCGGATGATTCTTACTTCTACTGGGACCAGTTGGAAGGAGAAAAATACAAAAGGTAACGGCGCCCTCACATTAATCCATCGTACGGTTTTGAATTTTCAAGCGGACTGTGACAGAACCAGCCGCCAGTAAGGATCTTAGAGAGCCTGTCATGTAGCAAGACTGCTGAATTTTGCAAGACACATGTACGACTACTCCAAGAATGCTCTCATTTTGCGACTGTATCACACTTAGGTGGCCACCAATCCCTTAAATTAAGCGTCGGTGTTTTGAATATGATTCAGAGGGATGGCGTATGCCCCCTCTACATGTGAAATGTTATCTTGCATGCTCTCCAATTATAAATATTCCAGAAAAGCGTTCCATATGTATTATCTCAGTAAAGAACATTCCAGATGGATAACACATTTAAGTTTTTGTTCTCCTTTTTTTCATTCCAGATTGATACCGAATGCAGACCACCTTTGTGTTGGCCATGAGATCAGCATTTTGTTTGGAATGCGATCATTCTTCCTCAGCCTTATGGAGGTACACTTTGTTTGTATATACTAGGAATATAATTCATCACTATTTTGAATTTTAACCGTTATGATGTTTGATGTATGTAATATGTACTATGAAATTATTTCTCATTTGCATGTAGGACTCTCCGCGACCGAAACTTACCTGGACACGAGAAACAGTGAGTTAGGCATTACCTTCATTGTACTTAGTAGTCTAAGCTGTACCACCCAAAATCTACACTTTGTGTATAAAGAGAACGTCCAAGGCTCAATAAATTCTGACTAATAATTGCACCTGCAGCATTTACTCACACAATAGCAAGAATGCTGAATGTCTAATTTGTCATTCTATCCCTTTGTAGGGTCCGAGAAGCGGAAGGATAACTCTGCAGACTGACATGGAACCTATGATCATCCGTTCTTTCCACGCTCGGACGCCTGATGCAGTAAGGTACGAGCGTAGCCCCCCCCCCCCATGTCTCTCTTTCTGCAACAGCGCTAAACGTTCAGATTATGATCGTGGTGGTTTGTCTTTAGCTCTATATTTCCTGCAAATTCATCACATCCATATGTTTTCCAAACCGTTTATAAGAATCTTGTATGTATGTATGTATGTTATGTATGTAAAAAGTGGCTAAGCTATATCAGTTCTTTTCCCTCCCGACGCCCAGACGTGACTTCCGTTTCGTGAAAGAACTCCCTGATCACCAGTACGCGCCACACCCTGTGGTCTGGCTGCCAGAGGACGTGCAAGATATGGTACATAACACATGTCTATTTTCTACCGAAACAGTAAGATACAAGTATAATTACGATAGTGCTTTTGCAAGAGTAAACTGTTAGTTATTGTGACTTCCGGTTACAACAATGCGCCGCGATAGTTGCAGGCCTCTAGTAAGCGTATTTTTCTCACTGTTTCTTTACACTTTCCCCCTCGTGATGAATAAGGGATATGCACTTGTTATCGATGTATCGATGTTATATAGTGTCGCTACCATCTGACAGAGGAAACTTGTGAATTCGGTCTCTGGAAACACCATCTGATGTCTCTGGAAACACCATCTGATTTCTTGGTCTTACAGGGAAACGGGACGTACGTTGCAGAGTTCGACATCCCCCCTTTTGGTTGGCTGGCATTCTTTATCCAGGTAGGATCGAGACTGCACTCGAAAAACCTGTCTAGTTAGAAAGTTATCTCAATGTCGTGAAAAGGACAGAGTATAGTCTTGATTAAAAAAAATCTCATGTGGATATTTCATGGTTTTATGGTAAGGGTTGTTGCTTCCGGGTGGGTTAGCTTTGTTTTGGGTGGTTGAGCTTAGCCCGGAGTGCAGCCTTGTTCACTTTAGTCCGCTCCCAGGATCCGCTCGTACCCCCACCGGCTAGCGTGAGCTGTGGGTTTGTGTGTCTGTCTGTCCGGATAGAGTAGGTTGAAAACACGTGGGCGGGGATATTGGCAGACAGAATGATAAGTGGTCAAAATGTCAGACACAAGAAAAGGTGTTGAACATGAAGGTCTCCAAAATGCCATATACTTCTCAGAAGTCTAAAATCTCTGATTTCTTGTTAATCACTAGTATGTGTTGTAGATCAAATATCTTACATAAAATTGCACTATTTTTTTTCATCTGTCCCAGGCCAAGTTCCATTTGCAGTTAAACGCTTTTGAATAACCCTACCCTTGTATCAGTAACGTAAGGCATAATGATAAAATGAAAACATTTTATTTTCCCCTTTTACAACTACCGACGGGACCTATCCCGTTGTTTCCCCAGGCCACGTTCCCGGCTCCCCATGGAACTGCTCTGGAGTTCACCACCGAGGTGCACATCATCCCGGAAACATTCCCCTTCCCAGACTGCACCGGGGCCGCCTGCAGGGGGACTCTTGTTTAAATTCGTCAGACAGATTTATCTGTGTCTGAAAGTGTTTCAAGTACAAGTTTTATGGTACACTTTCATTTATAACGGTTCAAAGGTGTATAGTTTAAGAATGATAAGAATCCACAAATAAACACCGATAAAACAAATCAATTGTCTGATCTGATATGTTACTATTCCCCACACCCCACTTGTAGCCTTCCCTACTCTTCCCCACATGCTCGTAGCCCTCCTTACTCTTCCCCACACCCCACTAGTAGTCCCCCTTACTCTTCCCCACAGCCCCGGGGAGTTTGGCAAGAGTCTTGAGTAAGGTACGATGTTAAGAGAGGAGGATAGGCTTTTTTCCCCACCTACCCACCAACCCATCCTTCTCTGTAAGTTTCGAGAAGAGCATTTGCGCCTCTCTGGGGATACGCCTGGGGACATTTTTCTGCAATCTCCATCACCTGTCTGGATCGCGGGGGTTGGGTGCCGGTGTGGAGGTGTGAGCTTTCCGCTATCTGCTGCTGTCTGCCATCTTACCAGTGTTTCTTTGTGACTGTTACGTAATCGTTCCATTGTTTGTAATAGTAAGTCACATGTATGTTGACCCCAAGATAACATGAAACAAAGTCCTTTGAAGTAGTACGCCTTCATGTTAAATGCACTTCCATATCCCGTGCACATTTTATAATCATGTCTGCTGAGTGTGTATCCCCGGCTCTGTTCTTCTCCGCCCTGCTGTGTGTGTTGGTTGTTCCGCCCGGGGTACTGACCACCCCCCTGGACGACTACGTCAACAAGCCGGACCCGCACTACTCCTACCACGAGGTGTTGGAATGGCGTCTGAAGGGTCCCGGCTACACCATGTACCTCCTCAACATGACATCACAACAGTGGCTCACAGGTGAGGCTTACAAACTGCCTCTTCATTGATGCACTTCCAGTGAGAAATGTATATTTACCTACATCTGTGTGTTAAACTTACATTTACAACTTCGCACACTCCTTTAATAGTCTGAGTTAGTTTAGTTGCTTATGCGTATTTGATGTTAGTCCATGGACCCATAATGAAATATAAGTTTCATAGACCGAGAAATCCACCATAGTTCAGATTATTCAGTTTGATAACTTCCGTGCTGGTGACTATATGATGACAGAGGGCAGCCCAGTATTGTATATGTAGTTACCCGTTTCAGCCCTCGGGAGTCACATGAGTACATTAAACATCGCCCTTTGTACGGCACGTGAGGTTTCAGCTTATTGGTCTTTGACCTTTACAAAAAAGTGGCTGATAACATGTTGACTGATTTGTTTTAACGCGTGAGTTTCAACAGAAATCATAGAGATTGTTGGATGGAAGAAACTGATATCAGGAAATCATTAGCATTGCATTAAAACGAGTCACTATAGCCCAGACTACTGAAAGGTCGTGCCTGTGCGTGTGTTTCAGAGAAGGACGTCAACCGTCCGATCTGGTGGCACTTCCTAACCGTGGTCATCCCAGACAACATCACCTATCCTGACGCTGGGTTTTTGTTCATAGACGGAGATAACAATGATCACCCAGAAAGGTACCGATTTCGCGAATTGGGATCATCGGGTCCTCTAAATGAATGGCATATACATGTTTAACCTTTAGCACACTGAACCAGTTGTTTGCCTACCACTTCTGTATCGGTTATGAGAGTAGTTCATTCTAAGTATTGACTTTCATTCTTTGGCCTCTTTATGTTTTCATACATATATCGAGACATTCTATACGGTTATTTATGCTTATATTCTTATTTTCGCTATTGTTTTTGTACACACGTGCAGCCTTCCTTCTCATGGTGACAACTTTGTCTCTCTTGTCAACATGTTTGCAGTAGGAACAGGAAGGTATGTAAACTCAGATTCAAATACAGGTTCTCAGAAAATATATACATAACAGGCCTAGGATACAAGTGACTGTGATGACTACTATCAACATTGTGAAATATACCTATCGAGTAAAACGTTGTTGTAGTCTATTGACTAGTGAAATCTATTTACTATAGCGTTGCTGCAAATTTGAAGCAGGTACCGAACGGACATCTGGTGTTCAAGGTAAGCCTTACTTGATATGTCATAGCTCTTGCACCACCCTTTACCAACTAAACAACGTGTCATTTTGAAGAGATTTTAAAGGATAGAATAAAAAGCCCGGACTCTCTAGTCTCAGCCCTGTCCGCACGAGCCTGCCCAAGCTTGGCACGGTGTTCCTGACCGCTCGGAGCCTCGAGAGAGCGCTCAGGTGCGGCCGTAGTGAAGTAGCGGTGCGTGCGAGGGCGATGTCCTTGGTGCTGAAATTGAAGTCCCCAATCCCTGCCTTGCAGGACTAAAGGCCGTCCCGTCCTGCGTGCGCTGCGCCGCCCAGACACTAGGAAAAGCGCGGTGGCTGTGCATGGGCAATGTGTTCATTGTCAACATTTCAAAGCTACCAATACAACCGTTTTGTCTTCTTCGCATCGTAGAAAGATCCACTCCAAAAGCGGTTGTCAGAAGACGCTCTTATCGCGTACACGTGGAGACATTTCTTAGACAACCCAGAGGACCCGGAATTCATCGTCAACATGCCGATGGCAAAGGTTATGTAGAACTGAATGAATAGTTGTTTGATTGTCTTTCTTTTGACTGAACCATTGAATTGTTCAAGTACATACATGAGGTTGTACATACATTATAATTGTCAAACATGTTTCCCAGGCGTCTGTGCGGGCAATGGACGCTGTGCAGGATTTTGTGAAGAACATGACCGGGACACAACCGGACAAATTCATGGTGGGAGGGGCTTCAAAGGTATGTCTTGTTGCGGTTCTTAGGTTGAAATATACTCTAGCACTACGCGTGGCTTGTGCGTGGTATACCTACATGTAGTGCAGGTGTCCTAAAGCTAAGTTTGAAGCTGCATTCATTTCGACGATATGAAACATGCTAGCATTTCTGTATACAAAGATAATTATAAGTAGTTCTAATTATATACCTTTGCTGGTGATATAGGCAATATACAAGACACATGGACAATATTAGTGACTACTCTCTTTCTCCTAGCGTGGTTGGACTACATGGGCTACTGCTGCGGTAGACAAGAGAGTTTTTGCCATAACGCCCATCGTTTTCGACTTGCTAAATGTACAGAAGGTATGTAGGCAAGGGAAACGTTCACGTACGTTTTCGCTATCTTTTGTCATTACCAGTTCGCACAGAGTATCGTTTCTACATATCAATGTTCATAACCGTAAGCAAGTAGTAAAATTCAAATGAATTCCACCAGTAACTTATGTAAGATTTACCTAAAAAATACAACCATTACAATTTTGAAGAAGAGTGTGCTAGACAAACTGCTGTGTGCTGTGTATATTTCAGACACTTCACCACTACTACAGAGTGTTGGGCGGCTGGTCCTTCGCCTTTAAAGACTACTACTTCTACAACCTCAGTGCCAGTCTTGACGATCCAAATTACGAGAAACTGCGGACCGTTATAGACATACTTGGTACGACCTAATCTACGCCTATCTTTATCATAGTTATGGTCTTTTCAAACTTTCCTGACTCGGTGGGCCATGGGGATAAGACGTAAAGTCGCAATGTCATTCGTGGTAGAACCTAGTAATTTAGTGTGTATATATCTATAATTCTGCAATAAGTATCAATATTACACAACAAACATTATGTTGCAGAGTATAAGGATCGTCTGACGATGCCCAAGTACCATATCGGAACAGGAGGTGACGAGTTCTTCATGCCAGATGATTCTTACTTCTACTGGGACCAGCTGGAAGGAGAAAAATACAAACGGTAACGGCGCCCTCACATTAATCCATCGTACGGTTTTGAATTTTCAAGCGGACTCTATCACACTTAGGTGACCACCAAGCCCTAGATTAAGCGATGGTACGTTTTGGATATGAGTAAGAGGGATGTAAAATGTTATCTTGCATACTCTCCAATTATAGACATTCAAGAAAAGCGTTCTTCATAATCTTAGTAGAGAGTATTCCAGATGGATAACAGAGTTAAGCTTCTGTTCTCCTTTGTTTTCATTCCAGATTGATACCGAATGCAGACCACCTTTGTGTAGGCCATGAGATCAGTATTTTGTTTGGAATGCGGTCTTTTTTCCTCAGTCTTATGGAGGTACTCTTCGTATTTACAAGGAGTATCATTCATAACTTTTTTGAGTTTTGAATTGTTTTGCTGTTATGTTTTATGTCGTATGTATAAAATTATTTCTCATTTGCATTCAGGACTCTCCCCGACCAAAACTTACCTGGACACGAGAAACGGTGAGATAGACATTACATAGTCTAGGCTGTACCACACAAAATCTATCATTTGACTGTGTATGTAAAGGAAACGTCCAACCCTCAAGAAGCAATCATGATTATAACTGCTGCATTTACCCTCAAAAAACTACAATAGCAAGAGTTCTGAAAGTCTAGTTTGTGATTCCATCACTTATTAGGGTCCGAGAAGCGGAAGGATAACTCTGCAGACTGACATGGAACCTGTGATCATCCGTTCTTTCCACGCTCGAACGCCTGATGCAGTAAGGTACGAGCGTACACTATAGCTAAAATTCAGATTATGTTCGTCGTGGTTTTTCTTCAGCTCTATATTTCTTGCAAATTCAACATATCCATTACAATATGTTTTCCAAACTGTTAACAAGAATGCTTGTATGTATGTATGTATGTATGTCTGTCTGTATGTCTGTCTGTCTGTCTGTCTGTATGTATGTATGTATGTATGTATGTATGTATATACGAGAAAAGTGGTTAAGCTATCAGTTCTTTTCCCTCCCGACGCCCAGACGTGACTTCCGTTTCGTGAAGGAACTCCCTGATCACCAGTACGCGCCACACCCTGTGGTCTGGCTGCCAGAGGACGTACAAGATATGGTACGTAACACATGTCTATTTTCAACCGTTGCAGCAAGATACTAGTATGATTACGACACGACAGTGCTTTTCCAAGAGTAAAATGTTAGTAATTGTGACGCTCACAACGATGTGCCATGATAGATGCAGGCCTTTAATACGCGTATTTTTCTCATCGTTTCTTCTCATCGTTACTTTTCCTCTCGTGAGGAATAAGAATCATGCACTTGTTATCGATGTATCGATGTTATATAGTGTCGCTACCATCTGACAGAGGAAACTTGTGAATTCAGTCTCTGGCAAAACCATCTGATTTCTTGGTCTTACAGGGAAACGGGACGTACGTTGCAGAGTTCGACATCCCCCCTTTTGGTTGGCTGGCATTCTTTATCCAGGTAGGATCGAGACTGCACTCGAAAAACCTGTCTAGTTAGAAACTCATCTCAATGTCATGAAAATGGCAGAGTAGAGTGTCTGTAGCTGTTATACGGTCCCTGTTTTGCGTACGTATTGACATGGTGTATAAAATATCATGTGTTTTTTATTAGATGATCTTACATAAGACTGCTCTGTCCCAGGCCACGTTCCATTTGCAGAAACGCTTTTAAATTACCCTGCCTTTGTATAAGTTAGGCACAATGGTGAAATAAAAACATTCTATCATCCTTTATAATTCCCGTTATAGTAATTATAACCTGTCCTGTTGTTTCCCCAGGCCACGTTCCCGGCTCCCCATGGAACTGCTCTGGAGTTCACCACCGAGGTGCACATCATCCCGGAAACATTCCCCTTCCCAGACTGCACCGGGGCCGCCTGCGAGGGGGACTCTTGTTTAAACGAGTCTGTCGAACAACCGCTGTTAGGTCTCTAACCTAATAGTTTAATCTAATCCAAAATCATATCCAGTTGCTAAAGAAATAGTTTTTGGCATATCTTATTACCTGGATGTCTATGTAGCTAAGCTTCACCGACGTTCAATCGAGTGTTTAGAAAACAAGGCGGTGGAATATTATGAAACAGGGCCTTACCTGGCTTGTGTAGTTGCTTATAGCCGATGGTTGCAATAATTAATTGGCTGAAACTAAATTAGGAGGTATACTTTTTGTTATACAAAGAGTACTGTAAAGTTTGTATTTTCAACCTAAGCGAGATTGACATTAACAATATAGGAAAATCTGTGACAGCTATTACTGAATGATCAGAAGAATTCTTTTCGTAGTCATTCTGGTATCTGAGAGTTGTCATATAAATATGTTAAAGTTAAAACCTATGGTTGTATATCATGACCCAAAGCCGCATATTAGTCATATCAGATTTATTGTCCATACCGTACTATTATAGTACACTGTCTTTTCTGACCAATCCATGTCGTGTAGCTGTGAATTTTTAATCCATGATCTTATTTTGAAATCGACATAATTTAGTCCTTGATAGAAATCCGACAATACATCGCAAAAACAACACAATACGTCACAAACCTGATTTCACAATTATATCTAATATAACGTTACATCTTAACTATTTTTTTGTTTTGTTGCTTTTTCGTTTAACTGAAATCGACGTATGGCTTGGGCAAACTGATGAGCATAAGCCTTGTAGAATGATCAAATTAACAACGTTGAAGCTCCATCTTGCGGCGTCTTATACAATTACAAGAGCTCCGTTCCGAATGTACCATGTATCAAGGACCGCAATAATAATTAAAAAATATCGGTGGTACTGACCTATCATATTTGTACAAAGATTAGCTTTATTTTTTACTACACATAATTTTATGTATACATAAATATGCACGTACATGTACATGTACACGTGCACGCCAATCGTCCAGGTACTAGTATCTGAAACACATTAACATTTCGGGTACATCAATCTGTTCAAACTGATACTATATACATACCATATGCACAAATCAACTTCACACAACCGCTAAATTCATAGTGAAATACAGCTAACTTGGCCTTGAGTAAGCTTATCATGTGGCACATTACAACTCATCATCTAAACGACAAAGCTTACAATTCAGATAACAGCACGGAACAATTAACTAAATCTACCTGATGACATTATAAGCTACCACAAAGTACGGAATGTCAGTGTTCTTATACTGATCAAGTTCCATGTTATGTCTCCCACCCCTCCCTGCTGTATCCAGTTCGCTCTATTCGTCCTTCTCCGGCGCCAGGTCATTACTGATGGTCCGCACGGTGTCGGCGTGGTACGCCCGGCTCCGGTTCCTCCCGTTCCGCTCCAGGCTGGTGCGCGTGACGTTCCCGCCGAGGCTGCGCATCTCGATCCTGACGGACTCCGTCCTGCCGTTCTGCTGCGGCAGGCGGCGCGAGTTGACCCGGCGGCGGGTGTGGCTGGCGTCGTGCGTGGTGAAGGCGTCGATGGACGCGTCCTTGTGGCAGATGGCCTTCTGGTAACTCTTCTTGAAGTTCTCGCTGAGCAGCGCGTAGAGGATGGGGTTGACGCAGCTGTTGGCGTAGCTCAGCGTGACGATGAAGTGGTAGGAGCCGATGAGGAACGGGGTGACCGGGAGCTGCACGTTCAAGTTCACCAGCTGTAGGGTGTAGAACGGCAGCCAGCAGATGACGAACACCACCACCATCACCACCACCATTCTCGTCACCTTGCGTCTGCTGCGCTTGCGCGAGCCTCGCGCCCCTGCCTTCGCGCTTGCGCTCTTGACCTTCCTGAGCAGCAGGGTGTAGCAGACGGCGATGATGATGAGCGGCGCCACGAAGCCGATGACGAACGTGTAGGCGATGAAGACGGTGGACCAGAAGGTCATCCCCTCCTCCGTGTCGGACCAGTTCAGGTTACAGGCGAGCGAGCCGTCCTGCTCCTCCGTCGGTCTGGCCACGACGATGACGGGGCTGATGACGATGATCGACGCGACCCAGACGCAGACGTTGACGACCTTGGCGATCCGGGCCGGCGGAAGTCGGCGGACTTGACGGGGTGCACCACAGCCAGGTAGCGGTCCACGCTCATCACGGTCAGGTTGAAGACGCTGCTGAACATGTTGATGGCGTCCAGGGACAGCACGATCTTACACATCACCGTGCCGAACGGCCAGTTGCGCAGCGCGAAGGACGCCGCCAGGAACGGGATACCGATCATGAAGAGCGTGTCAGCCATGGCCAGGTTCATGATGTAGATGTTCGTCACGGTCTTCATTTTGGCGTAGCGGAGGACGACATAGATGACGAGAGAGTTTCCGCAGATCCCCACGAAGCAGACGAAGGCGTAAATACACGGGATGATGATGTGTATGCCGCGGTACGGGTATACGTACGTCCCGTTGACGTTGTCGTCATAAGTCAGGTTGTCGTCATAAGTCCCCTTGTCGTCATAAGTCAGGTTGTCGAATGGAAGGAATTGATCCATGTTTAAGTCAACGTGGGCTCTTGTGTTCAACCTCAGTTGCGTTTGATTGTTTTAACCGGCACCAGTCTGTAGGAAAACCGCCAATATTCACCAGGGTCCTCCTTACGCGTTACGTGCGGTATGGATGGAATCGTCTAGACCTGCAGCAAATACAGAACAGAAAGGAAGGGTCTACAAGTAGGAATGATTGAAGCCATGCAAGTCTTTGTGCTGATTGTTGAAAACCTTGATTATGGTAAACATGAGAACTATATAAACATTACCGCAGTGTCTCAAAGTTAATGCCAATTTGACACAATTAAAACGGTGCAAGAAAGCCATCGGTTACTCCGCGATCCAAGGCTAATGTTCACGGGGCGCTGCAGCTGATAGTGAGGATTGCTAGATGGCGTGCTTGAGCTTAGTCTCTCTTGCACCTGTTCTGACCGGGTGCGTGCTAGAGCTGAACATCTATCTTCAGCCTCTAATTTCAAAATGTACAAATGAAAAAAATATATATAAACGCGTGGGAGCGCGCGCGCACGCATACACACACACACACACACACACACACACACACACACACACACACACACGCGCGCGCGCGCGCGCGCGCGCACACACACAAATAAACGCACACATGTAGAAACACACACCAACATCCACACAAATACACTCACACACATGATGTACTATACGACTCACCGACAAAACGAACTGGTTGAGAAATGATTTAGATGCTAGCAGCCGCATTGTTGAGTAAGGCACGTGCGGTGAATTGCCAAAAGGAAACTTTATTTCATGATCCAAACGATTACGCCATTTCCTCCTAAAAACTCATCAACATTTTTAACAATAACACAATGGAAGCAAAACACGATGGAGTTTAAACACTCCTGATTCATTTTTCTTTCTCAGTGTTGACCTTAAATCTACGATTTTTATCTCATCTGGATCAAAGAATGGGGCTTGCAAAACGATTAAAATATTCTCAATTGTTTCACACAAAGACAAAAGAGACACAATGACGACACATCTACGTAATGCAACTGCTACTTGACAAATATGATGAAAGAAAGATCAGGCTATAACTTCAAACAGCACTACCGAAACCCATATTACAAAAATCGGACAGAAATGATAAAGGTGACTGCAAAATGTTAGTAACTTATTACAGGTTTCCGTGTGCTCGAATTGTCTTGTGTTGCTGTTTTGTACTGTTTTGTACTTCAGACAAAATGATTTTTGGGTTCTCATTCTTCAATAGAATTAGAAATGGCATTTTCATGTTTTTCATCCAACGAAAAAGAAACATAATGTATATTTTTCCTTCCACTCCTTTTTCTTCTACCTGTCCCCATTCAAGGCCAACTAAATGGAAACGTGGTAGCGGGAGAGCTGCGTGAGATGTCACGACTGCAATGCTGTCTCCAATTGAATACCGCATTTCAATTCAAGCCACCAAATGTACGTGAAATCTGAAGGACATCCCAGAAAACTAATCTGTTGTCTGGCAAAACACCCACATGATGCACGGTGCGTGATGATAGTACCGCGGCCGTAGGCAAAAGATCCTTTGAAGAAGCCTTCCCTATACCGTTGCCGTTCTTCTGAAATCTTATTAATTAGACTCTGTCCTAGGCCCATCAAAGCACTAGTCTTAATTAATTAATAAATTAATTAGCCTTGTTGTATGTAACTAATGTTGGATTTCTGGTAAACTTTGCATTAAAATCAGGTCCTTTGCATACGATTACTTGACAAACAGATCTGGGACCTTGGAAAAAAATTCGGTTTCCCGACCGACCCTAGCAAAAACCCGCCTCTAGCCTTTTTTATCGACCGCTGGTAAGACTATACAATTATTAATGTTCGATTCTGAAACATCATTAACCGCGTTCCAGAAGCATTTTTCTTCGATAAATTGGGACTATCATTATTGAGTGAAATATTTTCCCGCAAGCAGCCAGGTGGATGGGTCCTTTGTTGGATCATTTTAGCCGAAATCTAAGAAAAAGGAGAAAATCCCTACCTACCGACCGTAATTTCTTTTAGGACTGAAATCAGAAATGCAAAATTGATGCTCCTAAGCCTAGTGGCAGTATTGCAAAGGATATATGCTATTATAGGCTTATGTACGGTGATTAACTTAAGCATGATAGACATGACTACCGCTGCACTAGCTAACAATTATGTTTCTCTATTTAAGTCTATTGGAAAACGACGATGCTTCGACTGAATTTTTTGTTGCTGTCGCTGATTTTGCTACCCTTACTTTCTGTGTGTTTTAGTTCACTATTAAAAAAAATATATATGATTTTCCCTTATATTAGCAAACTGACGGCGTAGCAGTGCGAGGGCAGAAAAATCAACTTTCCCACAACAACTTGGTAGAGAGTCTAATTACTATGATTTTTAAGTACCCACCTCCCAAGTTTCGGCTCTTGTGAGAAACAACAATCAGACCATACAGTACAGATGCCGCATTCTTGACTGACAGATGGTACAGACGGGCGGACATGTGTAATCAGATTGCTACAAAGGCAGAAGGAGAACAGGCTTGCTGGTCAAACAATGCAAGTAGTCGATACATCTTCAGAGCCTTACGGGAGTGAAACAGCAGCTGTCTTTTCATGTACGTGTTTTAACAAGAACCGAACGGATGCCGTGTGTCAAAAACATACGCTGGAAAGGCCTAGAAATGGTCGTTGGATAAAAACTAAACCGGCCTTGCAATCGTCTCGTAGTAAAGATATGGCTGCATTCAGTCTCAAATAATCAACATACTTAGTATATTAGATAGATTGGCTGTTGAGGTACTGAACATATTGAAGAAATTCGTCCGTGTCAGCCATGACGCCACAGTACTCTCAATATGCGCACATATGTTTAGAGCCTCATAAACTAAAGCCGGAAAAATATGCGGACGTCTTCACAGTAAGTGATCATCCGTAAAAGTACATTTTCAACCATATACGGTAAACTACTGCTACGTCCTTTAAAAAAAATCTGCATGGTTAATTTTGATGGAGGGTTACAATGTATTTTCACTCGGTTCCAACGTGCTCTGATACAAGACGTTCCGTACAATGACAACAACTGACAGACGCTAGATTAGACGGGCTGCTTGAAGTAATCCTAGAAGTCGTCTTAAAATGTTGACGTGAGAAAAGACAAGGGAAGATCCACCACGATGGCGCATACTCACGTCACGTCTGTACCCAGCGCTAGCGCTGTGGAGGGACGGAGAAACTCTACCGCCAACCCCCGGGAAACACAGCGGGCTCGGCTCGGCAAACACCGGTACCACAGGCAAGTCTTCCCGTTTACTCTGCTGCATGAAGCGGTCAGACCTATTAGTTAGCCTGTCCCCGCTCTGTAACAGCGCGCATGTGAACACCAAATGTGTCTGCCTGCTTAATGCTCACCCGGCCGGCTCTCAACCAATCACAGCACGCCTCCGCCCACGCGGAGCAATCCATTTGGAGAGAAAAGTGGAATTTGATATTTTATCATAAATATTCATGTTTCGCTTTATTTTTAAGAAACAGTGAAAATTCATGAGCTGTGTATTTAGTGCGGTGGCTATATTTTTTCGTGGCGTGTTCCCATATTTGTGCACGTATATTTCCCTCGTTCTTTGCAATCCACGAGATTACACCTCACCGCGACTTCTTTCTTTCCAACAGTAATTTGAACGTCACTCTTTACTTTACATTTTGGCTTCTGTTCAACATTTTCCCTGATGATAATTTAGATCAAGCCTGTGTGGAGATGTTTGAAGGTTTATCCGCCATGCCGATCGAAACGGACAACCGATCGGTTAAAAGCTTTTATGTTTGCCGCCGTAACTGCGCGGCGAATAAAACCAAACCGCTGCCCTAGTCCGACATAGGCCGCCAGTCGACTAGCCTGAGGTCATTTTAGTGTATGAATAATATCATTCAAACGCGCTTCTTAGGAAAAACCGAAGGTCTATTAAGCTGCCGACATCTGCCTCTGAGCAAATAAAAAACATGGGCTACAAAACGTGACAGCAAATAACTTTCGAGTCAGCAAAATATCAATTTACTACATTTTGACTATATATATATTAATTGTTAAGTATAAGTTAGCTGTACGTTTGGTTGTCAATTGCAAAGTGTTTTTTGTTACCGTTATTTGATTTGTGTACATCAGTTACACTGTTGTATATTCATGTTTTGTACCATATTTTTGTTCAGTGCATGGTGTCGCTGTGCAATGTTGCAAAAAATGATATTGTTTTGATGTAACTTTCACTTCGGAAAATTGAAACCAAATTATATCATTTTTCAGTTATTTAGGAACAGAAAAATAATCCAGGACGGTTAGCTTTACGGCGTGCTATCGTCTTCAGTGTGCGCATGCTCATGGTGTGGCTTTCCTCAAGCTACAAACGCCTACAAGATCGACGTCATTCTGTAACAGGAACCTCAACAGGTATGTGGGCCTCGAATCAAATACTAACCACTACCCCCTCCACTGCTACAGGTATGACTTGTTCCTGATTTCTGATATTTGGCAGTACTACAGTTAAGCCAGTCGAAAAGACCAGACGCCATTAGACAGTCGTTCATGTTTGACAATGCCCTACTGATTACTCTGAACACGTGAAATCATACAGGAAACCTCTAGATATTTATTTGGGTCATGATAGAAACATGATGACGTCCATGGTTACGGAATGGTCACGACAGAATCACTACTCCGTACAATACTACATACACACCACTCGCTAGAACACTACATACATGTAACCACCACTCGCTAGAACACTACATACATGTAACCACCAGTCGCTACAACACTACATACATGTAACCACCAGTCGCTACAGCACTACATACATGTAACCACCAGTCGCTACAACACTACATACATGTAACCACCAGTCGCTACAACACTACATACATGTAACCACCAGTCGCTACAACACTACATAACGCTATATAACCAATAGTCGCTACAACACTACATACATGTAACCACCAGTCGCTACAACACTACATAACGCTATATAACCAATAGTCGCTACTACTTAAAGTTGTTCTCAGACTTCAAATGACGTCACATCCTCACGCGCTTTTGTAGTCATCAAATAAGAAATTTAGAGTCTTTCCTGTTTGTGATAAAAGGAAAACTAACCAGAAAATCCAGGCCAACATCGAGCCAATTTAAGTCACCGCCCAACGCATGTTTGATGATAATTAACAACAGTTGGGAAAGATGCGACGGTTACAGCAGATAGCACGCATGATTTTAAACAGATCCAGGCCTAATTGAGTCATAACGTTCGTCGAAAGGACATCGTGATAAACAAAATAACGAACCGTTTTCTCCAATATGCAGCACGTTTCTACTCTCATTGCCCCAGGCAGAGGCGATGCCACGACGGAAATGAAACATGCCACACTAATAATGTCAACTCTATGCGGTGTCGGCAGAATATCAGGAAAGAAAATTCAATAATATCATCTGGGCCTCGGGGATAGTACTATTGCATTATATGTTTCTAAAAGTAAAAAGAAAAGTTAGAAACAAGTGTATCAAATTACGTTTCGTATCCATGGGTGAGGTATTTGTGAGATGGGTAACGAGCGTTTATAATCACTTAAACCAATGAGCTTCAATTAAAATTGAAGCTCCCTGATTTAAGTGATTATTTTTTCTCTCCATCTTTGGCCATCTTTTCCATCTACAGTCATTTGCCCACGTACTCACGAACGCACCCACTCACAAACTCACCCACTTACTCACTAACTCACCCACTCACAAACTCACCCACTTACTCACTAACTCACCCACTCACAAACTCACCCACTTACTCACTAACTCACCCTCTTACTAACTCACCCACTCACTCACTCGACTTGCAAACTAATTAACTAATGTCATGAACCCGCTGCGTATTTTTAGACTAAATGCAAACCCATCGTTACCCAGGTGTGGGTTGAGGATAGATAAAAGTAGCTGCAGATTGCCGTGTTGAAAGCAGCGCTTTGACAAAAGCTTACACGGAGACGTGTAGGCTAATGAGAGTGTTTCCTGGTGTGTGATTCTAAGTGCTAATGACAGCCGCCACACCGAGTGATCAGTGGCTGACAGAGCTGTTTCCAGTCGCCGCCGTATCTGGGGCATGAATTCAAAGCGTCAGATATGAACCTTTAGATCTGGCAACAGCTCGTGCGTGAAATACCCTTTATAATTAGCCAGCATATCTACAGGTCTCCAGTATGATTTCACGTAATAAGGCATTGACAAACTGCCTTGTGGCATGGCGCCTAGTCTTTGTAACTGGCTTAACTGTACGCAGTGCAGGAAAATATCAGCAATCAGCAACAGGTCAGACCTGTAGCAGCGAAGTGGAGTAACTATAAGTATAGGACCACATCCTTGTCCCTCTTGAGGTTACTGTTCATTGTTTATTAGTTAAATAATTATTTAGATAAATTTTCCACAAGACAAGTGGAAGGGGAGGGAGAACAGGTAAAGACACCTTACAGTACAAACATTAGCAAACATTATGCATCACACATAGTGAGACAGTAAAGTGAACCTATTACACAAATTTCCAGTCAACAAGGCCATAAAGCTAATTACGTCGGTTCACGTTGTAGGTTTCTTTGTAGTTTTTGGAATAGCTATTCCGAAAGCACCCTGAAGACCACTCCACGCCGTAAAACACAATAAAAAGATGCCCTAGCAGTGTGCAATGACTAAAACCCATCACCAATTCCCTAGTGCCGCGTTCAAACTAATCGAACCGATCCAAACCAGCTCCACAGAACTTGTTTACGGGTTATGCGATGTGAAGACTCAGGTAATTGGATAGGTGGAGAACCATTCAGGTGCATCCATCCGATAAACTGAATTGCATTCGTTTTAGTTTTCTGCCTCTAATCCTGATCAAAACAGACGCAGCAATGCCCTCCTTCGTCTTTCAATCAGGTTTGAAATGGCGCCAACTCACTGAAAATAAGTTCATTCTCGTTTTCCCTCGGACCAAAAGTATACGGGAGTTAGAGAGGCAATATATAAAAAGATGTTCAACCCCACCCTCAACAGGGAGGGAGGGGGGTGTACGGGTAGAACTCTGGCACTTGGTACTTTACGCTCCCAGCCCCGAAAACATAACAGACAACACTTCGCCCCTGTCCTGAAACAACAGGAGCTTTTTGACTCATTTGCATTAACCTTGTCTTGACTTTGTTAATTTTTGTTTCATCTGGACTATCAAGAATTGGTTTTCGCTTTATTAACATATCGATTAATAGTTTTAAACTTGTTGATCTTGAGATTTCACCAGTGTCACTGCCGACAGGTAGTAGATGCTACCTGAAACGTCTTTGCCTTCCCATGACCTTTCCCAAATCATATCCAGCTCCTTCAGTACGTGTTTTTTTGGCGTACCAAAAGCCCGTAATTTCTAACCATGCTCTCTGCGTGTACCAGTAAGCACTAACTCGCGTCAGTGCGTTAGAACTATATTCTACTGTGATTACTCGTGAATGCATGAAGGAAGACTTTGATAACGCCCCATAAGAATCTTTCCGTTTCAGTGAACACAGTTCCAGAAGTTTCCAAAACGAACGAGCTGTCAAGGGGCAAAGTATTACATTCACAGTCATATCCTGTATTCCACTGGGGCGTTTGATGGATTAGATATAGAAAATGTTGAGCTCATTTCAATCTACTTATACTACAGAAATGTGTTTCCATATTACACTTTCCCGACAAAAGCCCGTACGGCTAAGACTAGCTATCACTATCGTAATACGATCTTTATTCGTAATTAGGGATATATATATTGCTGGAGCTGGTAGGATTAACTTGTTGCCAGCCGCTCGGAAACATTGATGTCGATTGTGCCCCCTTTCTCTAGAGGGCAAGCAGACGAAATTGGATTTATGTGACCTTTGATATGATCATTGGAATATGATGCACAATGTAAAGGCATAAAGTAAATGATTACGGAACAGTGAAAAATCTAGAATAAATAGGTTCATCATGTACGTATGAAATTGGTTGAGACATTTATAAATTTGTGCGTGGAGTGCATGTACCGGTGAAATAGCTCAATTAACCGGGAGGTCGTGAGTTCATACCAAAGACTTTAAAAATGGTACATACTGCTTTCTCTGCTTAGCACTCAGCACCTATGACAAAGAGTGTGGGACGGTCAACGCACACGACACTACAAGCGGGTTAGCACACTGCTGTAGGGCTTGTACAAAGTATGTGGCCCAAGGGGTACAGAAATGGAGATGGGCATCGTTCCTATGCTCCACAAGGAGTGGAAAGGGACCTTCTTCTTCTGTTCTCCCCGGTCGTTGAGCGGGCGCAGTCCCTGTAGTGGAAAGGATGTGTAACAAACCGTACAG